ACAATGCTATTAGTCACTTATGGACATTGGAGGGAGAGTATCTTTTTCTTCTGTGTTTTCATCTCATCTTGGGTGAATGAAGGCATTTTATCCCACTCTTCAGGTTGAACAATGTAGTGAATTTGAAAGACTTAAAACCCCACATCACTGTACCAAGGAACTTCAGAAATAACACCCCTTCCCACACCTCCCAGACAGTAAATCAGCAAGGGAGAGTCTCTGTTGGCTGAGATGTGAGATGGAAAGGTTATATGTGATTTATTCCACTTTTATGAAATATCTGTGTTTATCCATCTCTTCTGGACTGGGATGTGCAAAAAAAAACCCCCATCCCTTTTTCTGCCTGTCACACGAACAAAATTATGCACTCAAGGAGGCAACTGTCTGCTTGCAGCGTTATGGTGAAAATGCCTCTTTTGTCTTGCAAATAAGCTGTGAATTTTCACAATACTTACCTTTTTTTTTTTTCCAAATTGTTGGGATCAGGAGAGTTTTTTAAATTTTCTTACTCAAGTTCTGGTGTCTGTGGTTGCAGAGTCAGACTGGGAAAACATGACTGGAATTTGTGAAAACTCACAAGCCAGAGGGCAAGAGGATAGAAACTCCAAACTTGAAATGTTTGGGTAACGTTGCTTATTTATTTATGGAATCATAGTTACTTGAGGCTAGCAACATTTAAAAATGTCTTTGCATGAAACCAAAGATGTTCTTAAGCTGTTTAGTTTAACAAATGAAGTACTTCAGTACTGGGATCTACAAGGCAATGAGCTGTGAAGATAAATGAATACAAATTTGATCATGATATACTAGTGGCCTCACTTTAGCAGTTTCTGCAAGGGGAAGTTTTCTGTATCAGGATTGAAAAAATACTTGGCTACAGTCAGTTCTTTTCGGTGTCTGAAAGCCTCAAGAAATAGGTGGATAACAGCTCTGAAATTCGCTGGTGATGCAAAATGGTTGAAATGGTTCAAAAAATGGAATGCATAGTTTAAAAAAAAAAATTAAATATAAGTGACCTAGCCAATGGATATTGGATTGGAGTGGATGTAAGGCAGGCTGGCTAATGGATTTTGTGAACCAGGTATGTTAGATTTTAAGGTGAAGTAACTTGACGTACATGTGAAGGTGAATTCTCAGAAAAAGGGTAGGAGAATGAAATAAAAGCTTGTATTTAAAGTACAATTAAAGTTCTGTAAACCTCAGTATGGATGATATAAACAAGAAATAAATTGATTACAGTTTCTTTTAACTTGATACATTTCTGGAATACAGGCATCCATATAGGAACTGAGCTTACGTAGAACTTGCATCTTCAGTTTGTTTCTTACTTTTACCCAGGACATGGAGAAGGCTGAGGTGCTCCATGACTTTTTTGCCTCAGTCTTGACCAGCAAGAGCTCGTGCCACACTGCCCAAGTCCTAGAAATCCAAGGAAGGGTCCAGGAGAACAAAAAGCCACCCACTGTAGGAGATCAGGTTCGGGAGCACCTAAGGATCTTGAAGGTGCACAAGTCCATGGGACCTAATGGGATGCATCTGCAGGTCCTGAGGGAACTGGCAAGTACCCTCAGGACAAGGGGTGATGGCTTTAAACTGGAAGAGGGCAGGTTTAGAATAGATATTAGGAAGAAATTATTTTCTGTGAGGGTGGTCAGACACTGGAACAGGTTGCCTGAGGAAGTTGTGGTTGATCCTCCCTGGAAGTGTTCAAGGCCAGGCTGGATGAGGCTTTGAGCAACCTGGTCTAGTGGAAGGTGTCCCTGCTGATGGCAGGGGGGTTGGAACTGAATGATCTTTGAGGTCCCTTCCAACCCAAACCATTCTGTGATTCTACAATACTTTTCAAATATCCCCATGTAGACTTGTGGAGAAGGAGCACTGTTCTGTTGTTTGCCACCTGTGGGTTCTGCAGAGGTCATCTCTGGTTATAACACAGGAGCCTGAAAACTGTATTCCTGATTTAAATGCTGTGAGATTGGGTCTGACAGTTTTAATGCATGACAGGTTTCATATCATTACTGATGAACAGAAGTTCTAATTTAATTTTCTGTTTAAGTTATTACAGCTTACAGAATGGTTGAGGTTGGAAGTAACCTCTGAAGGTCATCTAGTCCAACCCCCCTGCTCAAGCAGGGACTCATAGAGCACATGAACCAAGATTTTGTCCAGAGGGTTTTTGAATATCTCCAGGGAGGGAGACTGCACAACCTCTCTGGGCAGCCTGTTCCAGTGCTCAGTCACCCTCACAGTAAAGATTTTTCCTCATGTTCAAGTAGAACTTCATATGCTGCAGTTTATCCCAGCTCCCTCAACTTTTCTTCATGAGAGAGGTGCTCCAGCCCTCTGATGGTCTTCCTGGCTCTCCTCCTCTCTTCAACAGCTTGACATCTTTCTTGTGTTGAGGGCTCCAGGCCTGGAACACAATTCTCCAGATGGGGCCTCTCAAGGCAGAGTAGAGGGGGACAATGACCTCCCTCGCCCTGCTGGCCACCCCTCTTTTGATGCAGCACAGGACATGGTTGGTCTTCCGGGCTGCAGTCACGCACTGCTGGCTCATGTCAAGCTTCTCATCCACCAGGACTCCCAAGTGGTCCTGGGCAAGTGGCTCTGGGTGGCCCTACTTGAGCAGGGGTTGAACCAGATGACCTCCAGGTGTATTTCTCGCCTCAGGCATTCTGTGATTCTGGGTGATTCAGACAGGAGAACTCTTGAGTCACTTCGTAGCGTTAGGCCGTGTTTTACACCTGCTGCTGAAGAACAGGACCTCGAATTACCCCTGCAGAAAATATTTCTTCTTTGCCGAGTCGATCAGATTAATGGAATGTATCTGCCATGTCTTGTAACAGACAGATGCCAATACGATATGTACCTTAGATACACGTAATATCTGTGGTCATATAACTGACAGTTCTCTCTAATTTATACGTGGTTGGTTGTAAATTATTTCATAAATTACAAATTTTTTCTTCCATTAGAGCAGTGACTGTTGACTTGATTAACACATAAGGAGATTCTGCACTTGAGAACCTTTGGATGAAAGTACCGAATCAAAACATCTTGACTTCCTGAAAGATGCATCTCTCTCTATTATATCACTTACAGCCATTTTCATTATGAGTTGTGCGGAGTCTGTGGTTTTGGGGGGCTTTTTTTTAACCTTTAATCAGATAAATTTTCATAACAGTTACCAGAAAAACTCAAATAGAACGCTTTTTCACAGGAGAAGGTATGGTTTTTTCATTGCAAGCATCATGAAGAAAAATACAATTATTAATTCTACATATTTTAATTTGTGTATCACTACCATGAGAATACAAAATGACTGTTTCTATACATGAATACAAATAATGAACTACATGATGCCAAAGAACATTTATTTCTTCTCCTGTCTCTGTCATTAGGGAGTTGAATTGAGAAGGGTTAAGAGCCTTTATTGTTTTGCCAACATGTTGGGTACCTGGATGAGTCCAAATGTTAGAAGCCTTCTCTTGATGTTGCAGCTATTGTGATAATTTATATTTCACTTTTACACAGTTTATCATATTTCTTTTTCCACATCTTTCAATAACAAATTAATTTTTTTAGGATGGTCTCGTGTATTTGTTGCTTTGTAGTCTGGGGCTGGATCCAGCTGTCACGTTGGTGGGAGGGGAATGCTGTGTTGCACGCTCATGTTTTACTGGGAGGATGCTGACTAGAGAGGACCTCCAGCTGTTGAATCTGCTGCTGTGCTTCCCTATCTTTTAAATTATGAATTTCATATCGATAGCAGTTTGAAATAGCTTCTCTTACAACTTGCCATCACTCAACAAACATTTTATGAAGTGTATTTCTCTCGCAATGTCAAATCTCCTCTTTGATCTGTAAGTCTTGGATTTTTGTGGTATCTCAGGACTTTCTGCAACAAGAGGCTTTAGAACCTCAATAGTAAGCTTATGATTTCATAAGATAGAACATCATGTGAGCTGTTGAAGAAAAGTTGGACTTCTGTAGAGACATGTTACTGGTGAAAAAAGCCTGTTGCATGGAAGAGAGGGTTTGCAGGTTTAAGTTCTTCAGGTCTAGTTCTGTTCTTTCTTACTCCCTTTTGTTAATAACTGTCTAAATGACTTACTCCAGTGTGGTGGAAGTATTACCTAAAAAGCAGGCTTTCTGCCTACAGCGGTGTTAGTAAATAAGACGAGTCCAGGACACGTGATGAAGCTTTGACCCACCGTAGTCCCATCTTTTTTAATACTTAGCATGCTCTGTGGTACGTCTTTTGCACGGCGTGCCACTTTATCGCTCTTCTAGACTGTGCTGAAGCACAACGGGAGGACAGTGCATACCAGCAGTGCTCCAAACACGCCGTTTGCCCCAACCACCCTTTTTAGGAGGGATGATCATTTGGCCAAAGCGTTTGGCCTCAGGGTCAGAGCACACTCCTTGACCTGTTGCACTTCCTACAGTAGGTGGTAATCATCTAGTTACACTCTTGTCTCTTCCTCCTGCTCGTTCAAACACCACGTTAAGCCAGTGTGTACAGTATGATTTTCACATACCACTCTTTTTACTTACAGCTGGTTTAATTTCACAGCAGTGTGCAGACACTTGTCTGGTTTATATGCATGATTTAGATGCACCTACAAAATTAGAAACTATTGACCAGGGTGGTTGAAGAACACAGCATACGTTCACATGTCTGGAATGCAGGGACAACCATCTGCTCAGCCTCCTCTGAAGATTTTGGTTGTATTTTATAAAACATGGGTGATATTGATGTAGATAAGGATTTTTTTTTTATCAAGTTCATTGCAGTCAAAATGGGTTTCTTACACAAGTACAACTGGTTTGGGGAGAATACGAACAGAACATCTTTTTTCTCTTCACACACTGTAAAAAGTCATTCCAGAAAGTTAAACTGAAGATGTGTTTATTCTGAAGTTGTTTGGGCAGTATTTTAGTCTGTGTTGGCACTGAACTGATCTTTCTGTGATGCGTACCTACTTCTTTTGCTGTAGGTGAAAAATGACTATATGTTAGAAATAGCAGATCAAGTGGACCAGGAAATTGCTTTGAAACTAGGTTGCCTTGAAATCCGGTAAGCTGATAATTTCATTTATTATTCAACATGTTTCTGACAGAATATATACATTAATTTTTAAACTGCTTATATTTCATCGATTCCTGACCAGTATGGCTGAATAAAACATCATAAAACTCTTTTACTACAAAGTAGCTTGAAGAAAAACTGAATAGACTATATTGTAACTAATTTTGAGTGATTTTTAAATTAACATTAATTTTAAAATTGTAATTAATTACATCTTGATACTGACTTTTATGTGAATTCTTCATTTGAATAATTCAAAGGCCTGTACAGTGAAGTAAACTTTAAAAAAAACAAACCAACGCATCTCTGGTGTTATTTAGCAAATACTCTTGTCATTGTGCATATATAAATCCTACAGCTAAATAATGTAATTAAAGATAAATGCTACTACCTTTCCTCTCTGCATTTACTCAGTTTTTAATGTGCTATTTTCAAATGATTAAATCTTAAGGATTCTTTTGGGTGTTTTTTGGTATTCTTGTCAACTGCGTAGACAGCTGGAAAATGAAGATAAATTTATCAGATTAAGAAATCCTTGAGAGAGTTCCCAGCACAGCTTTTGAAATGCATGTTTGGGTTTTTACTAATTTATGGAGAATTTTTAGCCTGAAACATTTGCTTTAGTTATGCTGTTGTCTTGCACAGGGAGATTAGGGAAGATGTAAAATTGATAAGAAATTAATGGCAAATGTAAACCTGTTAGCAAAGAATGAAAGTGTCCTTTGAACAGTACTTTCTGAAATAAAACAAAATTTAGGCTTATGAAATTGTGTAGGTGTTGTAGAAGAATTTAATGTTTTTGCTGTAAGTTTTGCTGGTAGCCCCAGAGAAAACAAAAATTCTTTGTGTAACTGCAAACTTCTTACTTACAAAATTGTCGGTGTCTTATTTCAAAACATGGAATGAGCATAATAATAATAATAATAATAATAATAATAATAATAATAATAGATTATTTTATTGGCCAAGTCTTGCTTTCCATGGTTCTCATGCCGTGGGTTTTCAGAGCATTTTCATGAGATATTTCTAGCAGATGACTACTAAGACTATCTTGCCATAAGCATTAATTATCCACTTTCTCAGTGATAAAAAATGATCCCAGCCCTCTCCCAACAACAGCTACTCATACCTGATTTATTGATTGATGTAGTTTTTAATGGGGACGTGTCTGGATTGAAACTGTTCATTCTCATCATTCCTCTGGTTCTCCCTGTTGTGTGCACAGACCCGAGTGCTGTTTTAAGGGAGGGAGGTGCTGTTGGAGGTAGAAGGAGCTGCCAAAGGGTGCTTCTTTTGGTAGCAGTGTAGTTTAAGCTGGTTTAAAGTGGTTCTGAAAATGCACTGCTGCTATAGTCCTGTATAATTTTCCATACATTAAATTATTTTGTAAAATAAAAATCTATTGAGGTAGGAGAAAAACCTACTAATATTTATATTTGAATTCATTCTGCCAGTGTTTTCTAATGGTAAGTCTCTGAAAGATTTGACTATGTTGATGTTGTAGTTTTAGGTTGGATCATCCAATAACTGTCGCTTTCAAATATTTTTCCTGACTTCAGGAGATCCTACGGAGAGATGAGAGGCAATGCATTAGAAAAGAAGTCCAACTATGAAGTGTTAGAGTAAGTATTGTGTTCTAGCTTGAGGTTGGAACTGTTTCTTAATCAGGAACATTAAATTCAGCTCAATAACAGAACATTTCTGCTGTAATTTTTTATTCCATGAAGCTTGTTGAGATCTTGGAGTGCTGTAGTATAAGAAAAGGATGATGAAACCTATCAAGATAGAGAAGTAGGAAGAGCACCTTCAACTCTGGTCTAGGGAAGACTGGAGTTGTTTAAACTTGATCAGGAGGGTTGTTAGGATTTTTTGCAGTTTTGCTAATGTTTATAGGTTCATCAAGTCTGGTTCTGAGGTGATTTTCTTTCTAAATAGTTTTCTGTGCATAATTACCTTCTTCAGTTGTGTCTCATCTGTGGTAAAGTTTGTGTTACTTGAAATGTTTGTGGTATTATTTTTTTTTTTCTGTTTGCTCAGTATGTGGATTTCCTGAATTGTGACTTTGCAGTTAGCAAGTTTATTATTTATCTGTGTATCACTAATTTTAAGAAGACCAAGAAGCATCCTTATACTGGAAATATTTTGGTTACTTAATCATGTTGTTCGTTATATGGCTTCAGTCCAAACTGTCCAAAGTCCTTTAGAAGTTTCAGGGATTGAAAACTGGTTTAATTTCATTAATTTAGTGAAACACTCTTTAATACGTTTAAACACCAATGATCTACTCTTCACTATGATTTTCTTTGTGAAAAGACGATGTGATGTACAGCTTAATACAAAATTGGGATAAAAGGTTGGTGTAGCATTGCAGTCTCTATTTTTTATTTTAATAAAACAACATGTGCTAACTTTTAGAGGTGTGAAATTAGTGAATTTGGGGGTGGAAGATAAGATTTTTCATCATAATTAATAAGTTCACAAGGATTTTTGAGGAAACCATATGATTTTAATAGGTAAAGTTAATTTTATTGAATTACCTTATTTATGTAGTGTGTAGTGCTCCTCTATCTGTGCAGAATTTTTAAAACTTTGTTTTTATTTGAATTAGGGGGTTTTTGAAGAACTTGAGCGTTCTGACAGTAACCACTAGTAGAAATATCCTGGTTGAGGAACCTCAGAGAAAGGACTAGTAAAGTTGAACCAGATGAGCAGATAGACCAGGCTAAAAGGTGATATAAGAAAGATTTGAAAGTATTGTGACCTGGAGAAATTCTGATCTCATATCATCCTCTTCAGGAAAAGGGAGGTGTGAGTTACACTGGTTGCTGTTTACAGATGTTCCAGCAAGAAATTGTTAAAGAGGTTTTAAAATCAGTTATTTGGCAACTCACAAGCTACAAACATTTGTAATTAGGTTAACAGCTTTGGAAACAATAAGAAAAAGGGAACAAGGGTCATAACACATTACATGAAACATTAATTAGTAATTGTAACAGGTAAGAGTTCCTGGAGGACGCACTGTGGGGCTGCTTCCAGTTTTGACAGTGACTTATTTCTCTCAGTGCATGTGTTTTCCAAGCAGTAACTGTTTTGGTAGGAAATAACTTAATTGCTGTTGTGAAAGACAAAGTGAAGCAAAACCCTGATAGCAAAATCTATAACAGCTTAATGCCATGCCAAATCAGAAATGTAGAATTGTGCAGTTCAAGGTTCTTTTTTGTTTTGGTTTGGTTTTTTGAGAAGCAAAATTTGTTTTGTATGGGATTCAGCTGGGAGAGATGAAGGATAAAAGCACCCTAAAGTGGCTATAGATAATTATAAGCTAGTAGGAGTCTGTGATCCCCAAAATGTACTCATTCAATCTTACCACCTTAATAGCCTACAAAGGTCTATCTACACAAGTAATACTTATTTCTCAAGTGAGGCTTTTTGTTTGTTTTGGGGAGTTTTTTTGCTAGTTTTAATACATCATGAGACACTTAAACCAGCTGAGTGCAATTTTTAAATGGCACTTTTTTGCATTTGGTGTGATTGCTTCTTGCCTGTCTTTGTCAGATGTCTATTTGATGTATATTCGTCTTTGATCAGATTTTCATACAAGAGCAAATCTGGATGGGAAATGGTAGATAGAATCAAACTGTTAAGTAGCCTTTAATAGTTGGGCCTTCATGTAATGAAAGAAGAATTTTTTCAGAATAAAAGTGAAGCCTGTTAACATAGAACAGGGATAATTACAAGTACAAAAATGGGAGCTATATGAAGGAACAGCTGCAGCCACAATTTTCTAAGAAGCATGTTAAAGTCTATTATGTTAATCTAACGTTACTTTTTTGTTGTAACTTCAATTGAGATAAAAAACAGAAATAAAGATATATGTGGCCTAAAGCCGCTTATCATTGTATGACAAGCGATATCATCTATCTGTAGTTGGTGTTTTATTAATCCCATTGAAGTTTATACATTAAAAAAATAAATTTACATTTAAGCCCACAAGTAGGATGGAGTAGATGAGGTTAAATGCAAAGCTGTAGTAGAACTGTATAAGCCAGGATCTCACTACTAATTATCTCTTAGTGGCAATCAGAAAACAGATGTCTGAGTTCTTAATCTGGAGAGCTGGGTTGGTGTGTATCCCAAGTTGGCCATTTTACCCCCACGCAGTGCAGCTGAGGAGGGAAGGGAAGGAGTTTGTAGGATTGTGTGTTTAAAACTGTTTGTATGCTTCAATTTCCAATGCTTATTCTCTTTTTTATAGGTCCCTATAGTTTGGTTTTGACCATGGCATTAAATCTATATGCTACTTAATGTTAAATTCTCCTCCAGTAAATAAATCTGCTGTGTCAAACACAAGATACACTTCGTTAACAAATTTTTATTGAGTTGTGTTTTGTTGTACTCTGCAGAAGAATTTCTTCTGAATTTGTTACATGCAGATCTGTACCAAAGGCTACTCTCCAACTGCTTTTAATAATGAATCGCCTCAGAGTGTTGCAGCCACGTGCTGCAGTTCTGTTAAGATGAGGAATACTGGAGTGATGTAGGGTGCTTCGTTTTTGAAAACACCATTTCTCTCTCAAATGCTTAATGTTAAGCTAATATATTCCTTGTCAAAATGTCTTTGCATGTTATTTGGATGGTAATAGTGTGTTAGATTTATTTAACTGTGTGGGATGATAAACCGCATATGATTTGCATTTGAGAAGAAATGCATCAAAGGAATTAACATTTATGAAAGTTTTATAATCTTTCAGCTTACTGTCATCGCACAGATGCCAGCGTTCACTGCTCCTCCTGAGGATGTTTTTAGTATATTCTGTGAAATTGTATACTACTTGTCTTTAGAGAGCTTTAAAAATATCCCGGTTTATTGTTTTGAGTAAGCTTTTTATATTAACTATAAACTTGGCTTTCTTCTTGCGCCATTAGGTAGCACTAAATATATACTGTATATTTCAGGCTCGCTAACAGCTTTTCTTTCTTTACCAAATGTAAGAATTCCAGATGTATTTCTGTTTATGTTCAACGCACACACTCATGGAAAGCTTTCTTTCATACTAATTTCAGAAGCAGACGAGGGTGTTTGTTTAAAAGAGATTGTAACCTCTTAAATTTAAAGGAAAAAGAGTCAGTAATGCTTTTGAGAGACAAGGATATAAGTCCTTTTCCTATTGGCGTTTTTCTTGTAGTTTTGCCTTTTTCTCATGCAAATTTTCTGCTAATACTATACAACTAGTTCCCGGTCATGCAATATTTGATATACTTAGTTGTACAATGATCTCCTTCTGCGTCAACATATCTCTGGCACCTCCTCAGGCACCTTTGTTGAAGCTCATGTTTTGCTGTAGTGATATATACACACACATCAGACATAAGCTAGGTGCAAAAATATTTAATCCTTATGGCTCTGGGTTTCAAGCTATGGCTGCAGCTCTGTTTATTAAAGTGTGAAAGTGCACTTGATGTAATTCAGTTTGCAAAATCTGAGTTTACAGACAGAATTAGGATCCTGATGCAAAAAGTGAGATTGCTTGCAATAAAAAGCTAGGAAAAAGGAAAAAGTCAGCTTAGAAATTTTTAAAAACCCTTTAATTGTAGTGCTGCAAAGGGTAAAACAGTAGTGGAACGGCGGTCAACATGCTTACTGAGGTGATATCATGAGAAGTCCTTTCCTTTATGTGGTATCTCCTACTCAATTCTAATAGATTTTATTAGAATTTGCCGTTTTCATGTTGTTCCCTTCTCAGCTGACTACATGGTGTAAAAATGTTTTTTCAATGTTCTTTAAATTATTAAAACAGGTACAAAGAATAGTTTTTATTCTCAAAACTTACCTGTGCTCAAGCCAACATTCCAAATAATACACTTCTCCAGGTACCTGTTGTAAATGTGATATCCTTCTGAGTTTAAACCAGAAGATACCCCTGTCCCACATTTGCTCTGGAGCAGCTGTGGTTCCCATTTTACTGGTACTGTGTCTGTTACTCTGGGATTGTCAAGGGCGTTACTGTGACAATCATTTACTATATTGCATGTCCTAGTTAAAAAATAAAACAAAACCAAACCCAAAACACCACCCTGAGAAAGAATAATATAACATCACACAATGTTTTTTATACTAATGCTGTGTGTGTTTCTGTTTCAGGAAAGATGTTGGTTTACGACGGTTTTTTCCGAAGAGTTTACTAGATTCTGTGAAGGTAATTATGTTCCAGTCAGTTGTATACTATATTTAAAAAATAAGTGTCAGAAATCTGAAAATTATATTATCATTTTCACCATATAGTCGTAAGGAATTGCTGTGTGGTTGTGCCCTCTTGGTGAGAAAATACCAAAGCTGCCTGTGAGACTGGTAGGATATAAATCCCCATAGTACAGGTGTGCAACTGGCAGAACTAAGATACAGTGATTTAAGGGGCCTTGCTGAGCTACTGTGAGAGGGGTACACCTCTACCTCTCAAACCTCATGGACAGAAGCTCAAAACGAGTCCTCAGATCCTCTGCTTCAAAGAACTTTTTTTTTTTTTTTTTTTTTTTCCTAAAAGGATAATTAGATTTCTGGATAACAAGGAAGGGATGGTGTAAGAAAACAGCTTATTTTTAGTGGCAACTCAATAAACCCTGTTCTGCCTTCCTTGCTCAAGGCTGTATGCGACTCATTCAAGGAGGATTTCCAGTAATTTCCACTTATGTTAATCCTAGTTAAGACTATAAACATTAGTCAAATCTCGCTTCCATTGAAGTCCATATGCTCCCAGAGTAAAAAATGCAAATTTTTTCTAGATATTTTGAAAAGAGGAGTTAAGAATGGTCACCGAGTATTTTTACAGCTATAGCCATCTTCATATGAATGTCTTGGTAAAATATCTCCTACTATTCATACATAAAAGTATAAATAATAAATTGGTATTTTAGAGCTGGTTTTGGTATAAGCAGTGATGGTTTTATAGAAATAATAAATTCAACTTCAGATTTAGAAAGTTTCTACATTGTGATTTAAACGGATGAACAGAAAAGGTCTGTCATGAAGGGGTTTTGTTTCAAAAGACTTTTGAAAATCAGAAGCTAATGAAGTCAAGTGGATTTAAGTAATCCCTCTGCATTTTAATTTAAGCAATTATCTGAAACTGTATTCTCTGCTAATGGGAAAAATTGTGGTGAAGGACTCCAGACGTAAAAGAATGAGTAACTATCTCAAAAATGATTTTATGGAGCCAGAAAACTGACCAACAAAGAAAATGGCTCTTTAGAAATCATGAAATGGAGAGAATAGCAGAGAGAAGCAGCAAGAATTGCCAGAAGGTGAAGCTGAGTAGAACTGTGAAAAGACATGGGGAAAAATATTGGACATATGAAGGTGAAAAACAAGGGAAGAAAAACGAGTCTGTTTCTTAATGGAAATGAAATCCCTATTAAAAATATAATCTAGGATTGGTTCCAGTGCTTAAATGACTGTCTCTTTGTGAAGACCCATGATTTTGAACTGGCAGGCGAAGGAGGGCTTCTGATGGCCATGAAATACAAAATCTATTCTGTTAGTGAGGTGAAGCTTAGAGTGTAGTGCTAATCACATTTGTTGATGTTATACATTTAGGAGTTGCCAGCTATACAGAGGGTATCACTCTCTGTATAGGAAGACCAGAAGGCTGGAAAAATGAAAATTGAAATATTTAGCAGGGCAAAGTATGAGGTGATGTACAGGGGTTTAAAATCAGAAAGTTCAGCTGTATTTGGGGAGATCATTAAATGAATTTTTCAAAGTCAGGACTTTTAAAGACAACTATATATTAACTGAATGTCGGTAAGATGTAACTTTGTAAAAGAAAGCAAGTGCTGTCCCAGGAGGTGTCTAGAGAGGTTTCTCCAGGAGGAAACATTGGAGTCATTGGACAATGCACTGTATTGCATACGTGCTGCAAATAGTTCGGTTTATCCATATTCAGGAAAGAGTAAATCAACCTAATCCAAGTATAGAGGAATAGTTACTGAGTCAACAGGTGTTCCATCTTTATTACTTCACTAGAGAAGAATACGAAACCTTTCTGCGTTTAGCTTAGTAAATTAGTGAATGGTGCATCTTGTGACTGCTAAGCCATGTTCTCTGCGTACAGCTGCACCGAGTATACAAACACCATGGAGAGAAAAAATGTACTTACCGTGTACTAAACCAACAACTGGGGGGCAGGGAGGATGTGGGGAAATGGATGTAAGCCAGATTGTGTTCAGTTTGCAAAGTAGGGGTCTTCCCCGTCACTCTAGAGCATGCTTTGACTAAAAAAGGATTTTAAAAAATTGCTCTTAGGGACTATTTGAAGAGCAACTTTTCAGTGCATTTCCCTTGAAGTTGTCAATTGCAGATATTTCTCATAAATGGCTCTCTTCTGTTATGGAAAAGGTGTGTTTCTCTAATGGACTTTCTATGTTTACTCCTTATTAAGGATCTCAAAGTGAAGAGTAGATCATCTTTGTAGACTTAAAAGAGCCAAATAACCTGTGCCATTATGCATGGAAGCCAAGATGATGCTGAAACAGGCCAGGAGAGTGAACCATGGGCAGAACAAAGTATTTTTCAACAACTGAGTGACTGAAATACTTGGGACAACTTGAGCTACCAGATTTTTTTTCCTTTCATAGTGTCTTGCTCCTGGTATTTGCCAGGTGTGCAGTTAAGGCTAAAGTCTTCAGTTCCCTTAATGTTGGTTTTCTCTGTAAAAAGGAAGATAGTAGAAAGGTCCAGTACAGTATGTCCAAGTCCTAACAGAGTCTGAGGCAGCTCTGGGTGCAGTAGGGACGTCTCCTGCCTGCCAGATGCTTTCTTTATCCTACCCAAATATCCACAGCCTGTTAATGATCCACCTGGTAGTTGGTAAAAGGTTCTGCTGAAGTGATGCAGTAATTTGAAATTACAACAAAATGGCTTTATAATATAAAGTTTATGTGCTGAGCTGAGGGTTTTTTTCAACCCATATATGTGTCGTTGCAAAACTGATCTTCATTTTGCGTGTGAATATGTGACACCCTTGGGTCACTACTGTTAGAGTAACTATTTTCTGAACGGTCCTTTTAAAAAATTCTGGCTGTTTAGAGTTCTGAATGTTCTTTAAAGGCTTAAAAAATGAATGCCTAATCTGAGTGGAAGTGCTCACAACAAAAGGAAGTTTATATTTGTGTCGTGCCTGGAGCTGTTACGGGCAAAGTGAAAGAATGAAGAGTTTAATGCTGTTACAGTAGGACATTCTGATATTTTTGGGTAGAGGAACAGTGGTAATTCCTGTTTTAACCTTGACATACTGCAACAATAAGCCTGGTTTTGCCTTCTGTCGTTGTTAGTTGGAAGGTATATTAGAAATGAATATTCCTAAGGGTTTTTTTTTAAACCAATTCAGTCATTTAGACATGGATCAAACTTAGGTAAAGGGAAAAAAAAGGGATGTGATTGTGGTTTTGACATTTTGTCACTAGGTGATGTAAGCAGTGATGAAAAAACAGTGGGTCACCTAGATCTGCTCTACTGACAGAGCATACCTGTACCCTTAGGATTAGGACAGATGAGAAGAAGGTACTGCACTTTTGTCCAGATGAATTCTAGTGTTTAGAAACAGATGTTTTTATTCAGGATTCTTGATTGCTCGTTCAGTTTTGGGGCATGTTAAATCAGATTCTGTTTTTATTACGATATGGGTGGCAGCCTTCCCAGGGATTATACATTATATACAGGCAGATGCTTCACTTCTCATAAGTCTTGCTTTAGTGATCTTTTTTTTTAATGCAGTTGTTTGAAAGCCTGCTTGTATCCTCTACATACTTTATTTTTCAGGATTTGTAATTAGATAGCTTTCTCTGTCCCAGATGTTGGGAGGATGATTTGTGCTGCTCTTTCTAAGTGGTTATTTCTATCCTGAGAACAGTTAGTAAAATGATATGCAATAAAGTTAAAATAGTTTAAAATGTTTGTTTCCCTTTTTTCATTAATTTTTAATTTGCTATTTAAATCTTACCTTTTTATATGGACGTTGCTTTGCATATAACCAGACTTTTAAGAATCCAGTATATTATGGATAGTCTAAGATATTGTGCACAGAGGTTAAGATACGCCTACAGCTGGGTTGTTACTACTAGATAAGAGAATGGTGATTTCAGTTGAAAACCTAGTATGAAGGTGTTGGTTGGTGTGGTTTTGTATTGGCACACAGTTAAGAAGTTGGGAGACATGAGGAATCTAGAAAAAATAGTTCCTGCAAAGGTTAACATGTTGTCTTCTATTGTAATTTATTGAAAACATTATTTGTTAGATAGTCCCTCTATAATATATAGCAGAAATAATTTTGTTCCTGAGCAGAAGTTAGAAGGCAGAACTGTTACTTATATTTTGAAGCTTCTTTTTTTCCTTAAGAATTGTCTGCATCTCATTGATAAAGAGACTGTTAGTGAAACTAAGTGACTGAAACTCTTAAAACGTACCATCACTGATTAGATTGAAAATAATTTATATTTAAACATTTTAATTCACAGGCCAAAACACTACGAAAATTAATCCAACAGACATTTCGACAATTTGCCAACCTCAATAGAGAAGAAAGTATTTTGAAATTCTTTGAGATCCTCTCTCCAGTGTACAGATTTGACAAGGAATGCTTCAAATGTGCTCTCGGTGTAAGTAGAGGAATGTGACAGTCACCAAAAATACGTGTTATAGTTACGATTTTAATTGGTTTTGTTTAGTTCTGCAACTAATTCCTTGCTCAGTTCCTGTTTTGATGTAGAGACAAGTCCTTGGATTTCATTAACAACAAAATGTATTTATTGATTTTATTTAGAACTTTCTCAGTTGACTGTTAAAAAAGCACCATTCATTAGTCGGGTAAGAATTGTACATTGTTAATTATTTTTATTGGTGCTTTGTTTGTGAAAGTCAAGCAATTTTTAACCTGGTTTCCTGAGGAAATGAGACTTCTCAGCTTCTTTTGTTCATAAATTTTCTTCTAATGCTTTTTAATCTCTACCACTTTCAGACAAATTTTGAGAAAGGGCTTTAAGTCTGCGAGCTTTGTGAAAATGGTCACTCGAGTAGAAATTAGAACATGAACATCAATGTCCAAGAGAAGTGAAGAGGAAATATAGGAAATATATAGTTCTCATGTAGGCCTAAGATAAAACACATGGAACGCATTTTGAGTAGCACAGATCCCCAGGAAACCAGTCATGAGGAGTTTTGGTACTTATAGAATTACTTGATTTTAATATATTTTAAAATGTTTGAAGAGTTCAAAAGCTTCTAGAGATTAACTACTAAAAACTATAATTATAACATGGGAGGATAGTGTTCCATAACAAGCTCTTGTCTTAGTAATGACATTTTGCCCTTTCTCCTTCGGTTCTGAAGTCAAGCTGGATTATTTCAGTGGAACTGGCAATTGGCCCAGAAGAGGGAATCAGTTACCTTACAGACAAGGGTGCAAATGTAAGTCTACTTCTGTTTTCTTTTCTCAGTTACTGTCTTGACAACCATAACCTGTTGTGAACTGTACTTCACACAAAGGGGAATGACAAATCTAATCTTTGAGTTAAACACAGAAGAGCTGGGAGGTTCAGCGTATACAACAGTTATTCAGATGTTAACTCGTTATTTGGGATCAGGAGAAATGCAGTTGCATTAACTAGAGAGACAGTGTCAGCGTTAGCACGGAATTTGTTGGCTTTTGTACCCAGTGAAGTGCTCACTTACAGAATTTGAAGCATTACTGGTGACTTTTGAACAATGACATGTGCACATTTTTCTAAGTTATTCTCCTCTTTCTTGGGGTGAATGTGTAAGTAAAGAACTTGTTTAATCAGTTAGCATTCAGCATCTGTGCAGTCATTGCTGGCTTATTTGTTTTACTTCATACCCTAAATATTATTATATTATATATTATTATATTTACTTCATACCCTAAATTTATTACCTGATATTGACTGTGTTACAGTATTTCCTGTACACCTCCATGGTGCCAAGGGAGTTATGTTTAGACAGGTTCTTCTAGCAAAATGTTTGGGACCTTTATGGTCCTGACTTAAGTTGAGCCCATATCCAATTTCTGTTGAAATTAATTCAAAGGTTTGGAGATCAGGAATATGTAGCCAGCTAAGAACACACCTTGTACAGCAGTCTGGAGGTATGTCAAGTATGATGTGAGTGTAGGTTCCATGTGGTTCACCTGTTGAATTTTCTGTCTTGACCTCCAAGAGGTTGTTTCCAGGATGCACTTTACCTTGTGCCTGGAGTTACTCAACAGTGACCTCTGTAGGCAAACGCGGCGATTGGTTTCGTTTTCCAAATACTGTGGATATTTGTATAGATGTTGTTAGCCGAAGCCCAAGGGAACTGTAGAAAGAAACGGAGGACTAGACTTCTACAAGTGTAATCTGGAGATCAAAGTCTACATGTGCTTTTGCAACATCAGGAATAAAGGCAAAGTATTTCACTGTAATTTTGAAATTTTCCTCATTTTTTCCATTGCCTTTCTGCAGCCAACTCATCTAGCGGACTTTAATCAAGTGCAAACTATTCAGTATTCAAACAGCGAAGACAAGGACAGAAAAGGGATGTTGCAACTCAAGATAGCAGGTGCACCTGAGGTATGATATTGAGAGTTGTGATAAACTTATTAGGTTTTCCTGGGCAGGGGTGATGATTAGTGTACTCTTAATGAAGATATTCTGTATATTGTACTTTTGTTCTGGTCTGTAACTCCATTCTGGATTTTTCTACTGTTGGCATAATTATGATATCCTAATGCATGTGCATGTCAAAGCTGGAGACTACCCGGCTGTGTATGAGTACAAAGACTCCAGTTATTGTTAAACTCTCTTGCTCCTCCTGTAGTTACAGCCAGTGCATTTTACGTTCCAGGCATTTTGCAGTTTTTTTCTTTTTCTTGTTCTTTAAAGGGAAAGGGAAGGTGAGTGTAAGCAGTTGTCATTTTACTAGTCAGGTATTTTTGTTTTTCAAATAGATTTAGAGCTCATAACATCTTTTAGGTTTTGCATCTGGTGCTTGTATACTTCAATATTTGTAAAAGAAGTTTGATTTAAAAATTCCAGCAACTTAATAATAGCCTGTGTATGTACATGATGCCATGTCCTAAAGAGAAAACTGAGCAATTTCACTTTTCTGAAAGGGGGAAATATGAAAGAGGGAAAATTTGTTCTCTCCTGTTACATGGAGGCAGAGCTGGAAGTGAAATCAAATCTTTTCCTTGGTCCTGTGCACTGGAAAACAGTCACTGTGGTAGAGAAGGATTGAGGGCAGGTTGTCACATCTCTGCAGAGGGTGATGGATGTTGGTGGTATTAAAATCAATAGCTTGTATGTATGTCTCTCATCTCCTTTTCCACTGTCCATTTTTAAAAATATATTTTTATCTTTTTTGAAATTGGGAAGGTTACTTTTTAGGGCAAAGAATAAATTGCTGCAAAAGTGTGGAAAAAAGATATCACCTGTAAGAGTTCTAAGGAATAAGCAGCTTCTTCAGAATCACAATTATAGCTGCAAAAATAATAGCAGTTGTAATGAAGAGTGGTTGACTGAAAGTTTAGCCAGCAAACCACTCAGTGAGCCCAGATTAATCCTACATTTGGGTGGAGGGTTTTATCAGCTGTGCTTTCCAAACCTCGTGTTTTAAATTTGCTAGATAAAGGGTAAAGCAAGAATCTTATAGTCCTTTGCTCACCCACATTTTTCTCTTTACTGTTTGCAAGTGTGTGTAAAGTTCTGATGCAATGACACAGCTGTTCTGCTCAGTGTTTGCAGCTACAATAATATCTCTTTGTTGGTGCCTTGTTTTTTTCCTTCTTTAGCCTCTGACAGTGACAGCACCATCCTTAACCATTGCAGAGAATATGGCTGACTTGATAGACGGATATTGCCGACTGGTGAATGGAGCTACGCAATCTTTTATCATCAGGCCACAGAAAGGTAAGGAGATGTTTCATTCAGTTGCTATGCTCATATCTACTGGTAGATTATTTTGTGATTGAATAGAAGGCAAAAGGTATCAGCAAAAAACTCACGTAGAGGCTCTTGTCTTTCAGGAAGGAGCCACGAGGTATTTTTGTTATGAGAAACACCAATAGTAAATATCACTCCGTCAAAAATACTTAATGGCAGATAATTTAGAATGATTTTCAGTTGTCACTGCTTTATACTGTTCTAAACTTAACTAACAGGAGTAAATAGATAGTAATTTGAAGGCACTTCTAACAAGGACGTATTATCTTGAAATGTGATTCCCTAATAGCCAAGTGGAAATTCAGAGAGGCTGGTTAGAATGCATTTGGGTGAGATTCTGAGTAGTGATAATTTTTGAAAACTTCTGCCTTCCATCCAAATACTATTTTTTTACCTTTGAGAAAAGTCTCGTGAGGCTTTCTCATGAAATAGAACTGAAGCAAAGCAGGCATTTTGTCGTGTTGATCAAGTGTTTTTATAGCCACCCACAAGCTGGAAGCAGAGAGACAAGGGTGCAGGTACACCTGGCTTTAAAGAGAGAATTTGAATTAAATTTCATTTGGATTTTTTCTAATTTCAGACAACTTTAATTATTGAAAAACATCCAAGCAAAGCTGCTTAAGAATGGAAATTTCTATCCTCCAGTACTAATCTTCACTTGTGAAAATTTATCCAACTTTTTTGGTTTCTAAAACAATGAATAAACTATTTCCTCCTTCCCTATTTGTAATGCAAGAAAGTACATGAACCCTCCCAGAAGCTCTCCAGTTTGAAGCTGGGTCCCTTTTTGGCCATGTTTTTGGTTTTTTGTTGATCTGTAGTTGTTCTAACGCAGGGGTAACGTTACTGACATAGTTCAGGTCTTTTCCAGGTCCGTATATAGCATCCTGTCTGTGCATGTCAGGGCAAAAAACAACACTGAGTCGTGGTCATTCAGTAGTGAAGAGATGTGATTGTAGGGTGTTAGATGTTTTGACAACACTTAGTAATTGTTCACGTTATTCTTAAATTTTGAATGTGTGTTTGTTATTTCTGACCCTTCCCGTGTGTGACTAAACCTTGGCTCCGACACAAGCAGCTTTGTTAGAATTTGTGTTAGTCATGTAACCTTATCTCCATACAAAGGAAAGTCTTCCCTTTCAACACAAACTCAGCTCTTCTAGCCAGCTTAGTGTGCAACTCAGTGATGATGAACCTTTGGAATGAAAATTTGACACCAAAAGGATAAGCTGAAATCAGCGATAATGCTTATTTATTGTTCTAAAAATAAAATAGGCATCACAAACCAAGATTTTCATTTCATTAGTCTCGTCTGTACCTGTAAGAGATTGTCTTCTGTGCCTCTTCTTTTCTGAAAAACTGTAGTTTGGGGTTTGGTCCAATCCTTGTTATTCACTCCCACAACTTTCCTTCTCATACCTAGTGGATTGGCTGTTTTCCAGCCTGAACTATAGTAGCCAAAGTTGAGCTTTTAAAACTTTTTCATCTCTTAACACGTTAGCTCTCCCCACCTCTCAGTCATACTGAGGTCATGGATTGCTCTGACCGTCCTCTGCTCTGCTTCTGCTTTTGGGGCACACATGTAGAGTATGTCCCACTCATGGTGGTATTTCAGAAACTGGGTCCGTTCAGTCTGCATTGCCAGTGCTATTATTGACTGGTTCCCCTGCTGCTAGGATGGCTTTCCTTCTCTTACCTATAGATAAAAGCTCTTAACTCCACAAAATACCTCTGCCTGATGATTTCCAGTTCTGTCATTCACAACAGCAACCGCAGGCAGTCAGGGTGTTCATCAAGTCTTAGCTCTGCTCATCCAGTGTGCAGACGTCCAGCGCTGTGCGCTGTGGCATTCATTGTGCTCCAGTCACGTGTGTTTCCATTTCCCAGCCAAACCCTGCTCTGCTGTCCTCCACGCTGTTCTTCCCCAAGCAAGAGAGCAGCTCCCAGTCAAAATATCTACAGGATTTACCATGTCCTCTTTAATTTTTACTTGTTTCATGGTGTGTACAAACAACCGCCATCTAAGATTAGCAGGAAACCTGGGTCCTGACTTACTGCTGCCGTAGTGACAATTAAAATTGCCCACTCTTTTTGTATTTTTGCTTTCTAATTCTTATCTGCCTCTAACCTGACTTCCTTATCATTCAACTGTTACATCTTCTAAACTCATGAAGGGCAAGATCTCTATTTCTCTGTGTGTTGGACACATAGCTGTGACTTGCACTGTGGTTTGCCAGTAGGCATGAATGCAAAATAAATCAGTGCATTTAATGGAGTTCGTTTGTTTGTGTGATGTTCTTATTGGTGTATTTTAATGTAGAGCAGATGAGCAGTGATTGAGTTAAAGGAACATTATATACCACTTTGGAGACACTAGTCTTTATGCAAACATTAAGAGAATCCCTCTGGTTAAAATAAATTGTGGGTTTTTTCTCTGAGTGGTGGTTTGGGGGTTTTTTTTGTTTTGTTTTTTGAGTTCATAGCCATACTCAACTTATTAATTAAACATTGTGTAGAAGAGCTGTCCCCACCATGATCAGCATTCCCAGATCCCCCTCCCACAGTGAGCTTTGATTATACAAGGCACATCAGAAGCAAATCATGTACCAACTCTTGATCCAGCAGATGTGTTTTCTCCCCTCTTTGAGCTTTCCCATTCACTCTTTGTTGTAAATTTACATATTTATTGCAAGTCTCTTCATACATTATCCTTCTTGATTACTAACAGAACCTGTGCTTTTGTGATATTATCTGTCTCGCTATCCATGAATGATCCAGTTTCTCTTAATCTGGTGAGAGCACTTGGTAATGTTTAAGACCTGGACAGTTTGTGGCATATTTCCATTGTTTGTTTTATTTTTCATAAATATTTCAGTACATGGGTCCCTTTAGACCAATGTGGAAACTTTAAACTCAATAGTTGTGTTGCCATTATCACACTTTAACTCTTACAGGCAAAGAGCACAAATGAAGCAACTGATAAAACTTAAACTAATATCAAGGGAGCATCCACAACTTGTTTGGGCAACCTGTGCCAGTAAAGAATTTCTTCCTGTGAGGGTGGTCAGACACTGGGCCAGGCTGCCCAGAGAAGCTGTAGCTGCTCCTCCCTGGAAGTGTTCAAGGCCAGGTTGGATGAGGCTTTGAGCAACCTGGTCTAGTGGAAGATGTCCCTGCTGCTGGCAGGGGGGTTGGAACTGGATGATCTTTAAGGTCCCTTCCAACCCAAACCATTCTATGGTTCTGTGATTTACTGACTGAACTATGCACTAAGTAGTTTCCTGTGATCTAAGTCTAGTAGCTGAATTTTGTATCTATTAATCACTTTCAAAAAGCTTTATAGGTAATGCAGAATTGTCAAAACGGTTATAAAAGACTCTGGAAAAAACCACCTGAGCAACTGAAACAGTTACCTGATTGTCATGCCTTTATACCAAAAGTCAATTTTACATTCAGACATTCCCTTTGAATTTAAAAGGATTACAGCTAAATGGAAAATCTGAATTTTGAGTTTCAAAATACCAAAATTAAATAATCCCTGAAGTTCTCCAAATAAAGTGTTTTCTGTTTTCACACAAATTAACGGTGAGCACCTTTTTCATTTAACAGAATAGTAACATGTATTCTAATTCTTATGGTACTGTTACCACTTTGACTAATTTGACCCCTCACTGATTTTCTTTTTGCAGTAATTTCAATCAGGTGAGAACAGTGATAAATCAAAATACTTGAGAGTTCTTGTTGTTTAGTCTGGAGAAAAGGAGGCTCAGTCCTTCTGGCTCTCTACACCTACCTGAAAGGAGGGTGTAGAGAGGTGGGGGTGGGTCTGTTCAACCAAGGAACAAGTGACAGGACAAGAGGAAATGGCCTCAAGTTGCACCAAGGGCAGTTGAGATTGGATGTGAGGAAGAATTTCTTTGCTGAAGGGGTTCTCAGGCATTGGCAGGGGTTGCCCAGGGCAGTGGTGGAGTCCCCATCCCTGGAGGGATTGAAGAGTCGTGTAGACATAGTGCTGAGGGACAAGGGTTAGTGGGGGACTTGTCAGTGTTGGGTTCATGATGGGACTGGATGATCTTAAAGGGCTTTTCCAATCGAGGCGATTCTGTGAAAGACGGGCAGATCACTTACCAGTTCCTGTCATGGGCAAAACAGACTCGACTTGGGGAAAATTAATATAATTTACTGTCAAATAAAATAGAATTAGATGGTGAGAAACTATGTAAAAATTTAAAACACCTTCCCCCTCAGCTTTCCCCCAGTGCCACCCTCACCCCTTCACTCCCGACTCCTCTCCCCCGAGGGGCACAGGGGTGGGGATGGGGGTTGGGGTCCATCCATCCCAGCCCCTCTGAGCTGCTCCTCCCTCCTCACCCCTCTCCCTGCTCCAGCGCGGGCCCTTCCCCGGGCTGCAGTCCTTCAGGGACACCCTGCTCCCGCCTGGGCTCTCCACGGCCGCAGCTCCTGCAGGAAATACCCCCCTGCTGCGGCCTGGGGCCCTA